ATAATCTAATTATAATATATATATTTATATATATATATATATATATATATATATATATATATATATATATATATATACTATATAATACAAATTAACTGAAAAGCAAATTTTTAAAAAGTTTTCAATTTTAATTTTATTAAATTATTAGGTAATTATGAAAAATGCCTAAGTATCTGAGAATATATAAAAATGTATGATTTTCGTATAAAAATATTTCGAATCCATTTATAAATCTGAATAATATTGTCAAATTCATTATTAAATTTTTCAAAATTTTTATATTTTTGTCTATAAAATTATGATGTTATTAAAACAAATAAGTACAACTTCTTTAACAAATAACCTTTTATAGTAGATATGTATGGTCTATTCAAATTATTAAAACAATGGAAATTTATTTTAAAAAATCAGATTATTATTGAAGGGGCACTTTTGATTATTGTAGGAAGGATCTAATTAAACATTTCATTATTTGTTATTTTAATTGTGCCTCATTGTCTGGTTATATTTTACTTAATATCTTCTAAAAATATTGAATACATTAATGAGAAAGAAATAATCGCAAGTAATTGAAAATAATATAAATATTACCAATAGTGCGAGTATATGAGTGAGTAAGGCTCTTTGTTAGCTTTGTTCGTAAACTCGGGATGAAATATTTTAAACGTTCTGTTATTATATTTAATAATACAACGACTTTATAAATACTTATAATTACGCTTTTATGAAAATTACTTTTATTTAATTGAATGCAAAAACAATGTGAAAGAATTGGTGATTTGAAGGAAGAAAATAGTTAAAATAACATCATTATCAAAATACATGAATGTCTCTGTTGTCAAGAATAATAAACAAATGACTATCCATGCTCGTAAATCTTCAATAAATAATAATATTCGAATAAAATTTTGACTTTCTTAATGTACTGGCGTAAGCTGAGTAAAGTTTGCAAAATAGAGTCTATATCATCCTCGGAAACCCATCGGATTTCCAATAATAATACTTCACACCTTAGTCGTTAAGTGTGCCTTCCACTTTCGTTGTCTTTCAAATCGAAGGGACGAAGAAAGGGGAAGAATAATTAGTGGATGAGCTAAGGATGGGACGTTACTCACCCAGGACAGTAGTTGCATACGTAGCTGAAATAGGGTATGCCGCGGGGTCCATTTTTGCCGTCGCACTGGGCCCATCCGCAGCCGACGAGGTGCGAGGTCGCCCAGACCATTTGCGTGTAGTGGCCGATCTTATTGAGTTCGTTGTGTTCGGGTGTGGCGCCATAGCTGAACAGCCGCTCCTCCGAGAACCAGGTTTTTATTGCGAAGAACCTAGGATCAGAGAAAGCCATATTGGCTCTGCGCTGTATTATCGTTTCTCGAAAGTCACTGCCCCTAATAGCTTACGCGTGAGCTTCGAGCCATCGCGAAACGTCAGTTGAATCGCGACAAAGACACAATTATGCATTATTCATTAAATAAGAATGATGCGCGACTTGTTTTAAGCAGCTCATTACGTGGATTGACAACGTGCTAACGCTTCCATGGATTAAGCTTTCATTGTCTCTTAGCGTGACGATAAATTTCTTGTTGTTTTATTTTTTCAGCCGAAATAATGTACATTTTATTTCAATCTTTTGCTTTATAATAATTTTAACGAATAGGCTCGTTCTACTTTAATTCTCGTGTTACTATGCTAACAATATCAACGGTGGCAATTAATTAGTACTCATTTTTATTATTATCCGTACTATCGTGTTAGAAATAATTAAATGGCAAAACGACTATTGGAATGGCGCGCGCGCGAGTCGTATTATTACTTGCAATCATATATATTAATATTAATTAACTTCCTTCCGCATTTGTATGAAATGGCAATAGTAAAAGATACAAAATGTCATTCCCGACGATCTCGAATCCTAAAGGTCCACCACACACCCACATCCTGGTCAATAAAAATCCAGCACTAAGCGCTCGATAAATACCATTCCGATCGTATTGTGTACAATTATTAAAGGACTCGTTATTCTGAATGTTTTTTGTTTTTTGTTTTTTTTTTTGTTTTTTTGTTTTTTGTTTTTTTGTTTTTTGTTTTTTAATCCCTACTGTTGGAATTTTTGGCACTCGAGTCGAGCTAGAAAATCTTCAAAATTAATACCAAATCGTAAACTATGATGCTTAGAATATTTAAAATATTAAAAAATTGCATGCATTAATGACACATAGCACTATAAAATATGATTTCCATTGTATTACTTAGTGTCGAGAAAATGCTTATCCTTATCCTTATCCTTTAATGGATTAAAATTTACAAGGTAATTGAAATTTCCTGTTCTCAAACACTGTGTTTACCCAATTTTCAGGATTTTCGTTTGGCGAGTGTTCACCAACAGCGACATCCTTCATATGCAAAATTACATCGAATTTGGCTGAGTGCCAGAGTGCGCGGTGATTCAAAATCCCGCTTGATCGTAGCTCGTAATGGGAGATCATTGGTACGTGATGAAGAAATTGAATGCAAAAGCTCAAGCGTGTGTGTAACTGTGGCTGTCAGACTTCGAGCTTTACACACACGCTTTACGGCTCGTATTTGTCACACAATCTCTTTAGGAATAGATTAGACCCTCGATCTTTCTACAAGCTGATCGATAAAATACTAGAGCATTTAATTAAACAATCGTGCGTCCCTTAAATTACCTTTGTATAAAACGTCTCGGCTCATTAAATTAATCGTCGAGCCTTGTCACACAAAGAATTTGATATTATTAAGGCGAAATGAGAGAAGAATAAGCAACTTCAATTTACGATTAGTACATATAAGCATACTAACTAACTATTGTTAAATCGACTGCATAACACATCTCATTACATAAATTTTGAAATTAAATTAAAAATGCGTTTTCGTGAGAGAAACGATGTTATTAACAGAATAAAGTAAACAAATTAATAATTTAGAATAAATTATTAACTTTCATCGTATGCGGAACAGTATGTGTATGTCCAAATGCCAGGCTTTATTATATTTTCTCCCTCTAATATATATGATTTATGCCAAATAATTATTGATAATCCATTCAATATTCTCTATGATGTTTCATAAAATATGTTACTAACAAATTTTTTAAAAATTTCATTAAAGAAACGTCGCCAAATATCTAATATTCAAAATAATTGGATCAAATAATTTGAATATCAAAATAATTGGTGAGACTTTTTTTTTTTAATTTTCATTTTAGGTCATTGATTAAACATAATGTATATATTCTTAATTTAAGAATAATTCAAAAATAATGAAAAATAAACTGTAAGAACATATGTTCATGATTGGAGCATTTTTTAAGAGCTTTGGCTCTCGGATATTTATAAACCTTCTAGTATTTGTAAACATTATGTTTCTCGGAATTCTCGAAACTTCTAAAATTTTATTTCCGAATATCTTGCAATGTTTATCTAGTTTCCGCTTAACAACACCAATCGCAACCATTGTTGCCAGCTCTAATTGAGCTGTCACGTGGATATTTAAAGCAAGCACGCGTCGAGACATTCTCTCTCTCTCTCTCTCTATCTCTCTCTCTCTCTCTCTCTCTCTCTCGTTGTCTTTTACCCAGAGCCGCCACGGGATGAACACCATTCGAGTGAGATGGTAGCAACCTTCGCAACTGTATGAATTGATATAGATCCTCGCGCATAGTGCCCGAGCGCACAAAGTGGTTGCAGGTAGTCATTGAAAGTGTTCGCTTCCAGATTGTCAGTGCAAGCAAACACCACTCAACCGCACATCAAGGAGGAGACCCCAGCAATCAGGTGACCACCACGTGGATCTACGCTAAGAGGTGTCCCCATATTTACGACCTCCCACTTCTTCGTTTAATAATCCACCACCAAGCGCAAAGCGTCAAGAGGATCCGGAGTTTTACGATCTCCTACCTCTGCATTTGGTGAATACTAACGCCACGTGACAAAAACCAAGGAACGGCAAGATCGCATGGAATCTCAAAGTCAACGCAGCATATCATTAAAGTGTAGTTGTAAAATACAATGAAATAAACAAGGACGAAAAGCAGATGTGTTGAGTACTGAATCGAAGCACTACCCTACACCTTCCACTTATCCACACTTTTTTTCTCACCAGAATCCCAAACATTTTGGTCCTTCGACCCGGATGAGCGGAATTCTCAACAAACACGAAATGAAAAAAAAAATTTTATAAATACATTATTACTCTCTTATGCGAACTTTTAGAACTTTTAATTTATTTAGATAGTATTTAGAATAGTAAATGATCGTTATTTTGAATATCCGCAAAGCATCATTACTACATGAATGTGAATACGAGGAACTTGAATGCATCATATACAAAATCACAGAACGCAACTGCAGTTGGCGGAATTATTATTAATTATCGGAAATAATTGAATATAAATTTGAAGTATTTATAAATTGCTTCTGTATTTTAAAGTGCTTTAATGCTTCAACAAAGTGGAATATTATTTATAACAATTCTAGTTGAAAAGATGCAAGATTAAAAATTATTAACTTTATTCAAATTATCGTATCAAGAAAAATTAAATTTAATACTAGAAAATATCATTTTCATAAATCTATAATTGATCGTGTTAATAATAAAATGTACAGAATTATCGATGACTTTAGTGAAATTATTTAACAAGACAAATAAAATTTAATTTTTTTATCAAAATTATTTATGCAATGTAATGATTACTATAGTGTTTTCAAAAGTAAATGAAATATTTCTCGCTTACTTCTTTATTTATTTCTTACCAAATATACTGTAATATTTCGATTATGAATAATACAACGAGTTTGAGTATTTTATTTACAGATTATCTTATTTAAATAAGAACTCTCAAATTTATTAATTTCAATGCTAATAATTGACCGCAAAAATGTAATTTACTTTTCAATGATTGTGCACAAGAAAATTATTATATGCCATTATCAAAGCATAAAAATTGTACAAATAAAAATACTTGTTTCAAATGTTCAAATTTCAAGACAAATTAATTATTCATAATAATAAATGATATACTAACAAATATATAATCCACTTGATAAAACAATAATAAGGAAATAATTTCTTAACGTTAATAATATTTGTAATATTTTTATATTTTAGGAATAATTAAACTTATTATTAACTTGGTAGCTTATAAAAGCACGTGGTAATTAATTAAATGTAATTTTATTCTAGTAATTGTATAATTAAAGTCCTAATGATTAGTAAGTACATGGTTGAGTAAAAAAAAATCGATATCCCTTTTTGTTGCATTTGAGTCGCGAGTTTGATGTTTGCTCCTACGAACGTTATTTAACTCTCGTTATTACTAATTGTAAATAATAATGAAACTTTGATTATCGAATTTTTAAAATAAAAACATTGTATCGAATGGATAGTGTCATCGCGCGATCAAAAGGAGCTCAACGAATGAATTGAAGAATAAACTAAATTGAAGAATATTTTATCCGAAACGATATTATATTTCTCTATAAAATATTTATCATAATTTATCTACTATAAAATACGTTAATCGCTATAGCTAATTTCTATTCTATTTAAAAGATTCAAATACACAAGTAAGAAAATAAAAAGTAAGAAAAATTGAAGTAGATTAAATTCAAGAGATAAAGTTTTTTTTTTAAATATTACCTTGTTGATTGCTTATATTATATATATATATATTCTAAAATAATTAAGCTGTTTTTGTAACTTTAGAATTTCCAAAAATTGGATGTTATGGCTTAAAATTTTAAAATTTTTAATTTTCTAGTAAAAAATTATTTAATACCTTGAATAGAAAAAAAAAATCAGAAAATTTTTCGGAAAATATTATTTATTAAGAGATTGTAACATTTATCGAATTATTGGTCCGCGAGTCATATCATATCTACTAATCAAGAGTTGAAACTGCTTATGTCGAATATTTTAGCATCCAACGAATCGTACAAATGAACAATAAAATTTCATGTAAACAAATAAACTGTATGCTTGTACGCAACAATGTGTAATCAGTGCATATATTTGGAGTATTTTACCAAACATATCGCCAAAATATATTTTCATGCTTAATGTAATAAATACAGGCATCAATGATACTTAATATTTTTTGTAATTGTAAAAAAAAAAAAAAACTGTAGTTTATAATCGTTAGTTACATAATCCGTAGAATAAAGAATCAACTACATTAAATCGATTAGATTGTATTAAATAATTAAAATTTCGTAAAAGAAACAATTAAAGTTGTTAATAATATCTAAGATCGCAAAATATAATTATATATATGGCTGTCATCGTCTATTTAATTTATGTAAATCGATTAAATATTTTAATTTTGAGCTTTATACGTCGAGTGCATTAGAATTAAAATCCTTTAAAGCAATCACTTTATTTTTACACTTCTAATTTAATCCTACAAATGTATACTATATAATGTATTCTTAGAATATATCGAGCTTCTAATGATCTTTTGTGGTGTCAACATAAAACCGCACATAAAGTGTAAATACTTGTGAATTGAAAAATGCAAGGATTTAGCAATAAAAGGGAAAACCAATGAGAGTTTATTGAGAGGCTTCGGAAATTAAATTAAACCGATGCTCACTTAACTTACCATGGCACTCGAGCGGTCGAGATGAAGATATTCTGCCCACAACTACCAAAGGCGTCGATGTGCAAACCGGTGGCATTGTCGTGGGTAAGGGCGTAACACGCCTCCGCCCATTTTTGCGCGGCCTTGGCCGCCCCGTCGTGCCATTTCTGCAGGTACACAAAAATAATGGAAAATTTCATTTCCATTCAATATTGGTTTTCACGCTATAATAAAACATACATATGGGAATTCATGAATGTGCCAGCGAACTTTTCCCAACACTTAACTATTCCAGCTCAGGACAATTGTAATAAATCTTACGCGGTTGTAATAAATATCTGCAATTTATGCTAACAAAATTAATGAGATATAGTAAGTAGTCAACTATAACCATTATTGTTGCTACACTTATGAAATTATTATATTAGAATTAATATTGTAAATACAATAATGAGGTAGAATTTCGTAACAATTATACAATCGTTAAAAATTCCCTGGATTATATGTTTATGGAATGTGTGGATTCGGTAATTGATTTAGACATAAAAGTAATTTTTTCCTTTTCAATTTGCTTTAAATTGCTTCAAATAGTATTTTGTTTTGTTTTATTATTTATTTATTTATTTATTTATTTATTTATTTATTTATTTATTTATTTTGCAGTTTCTACTGTCAATCAGGAAAAATACGGAATAACATATTTAAATGTACGATGAAAAAAAAAAAATGAATAATGAATTTTTAAGAGGATTTAGAGCTTTAGCAGCTATGCGATACCTTTTCGACGCGAAAAAATAAAATATGATTTAGAATTTTTTCAAATTTTAAAAAAATTCCACTTCTATAAAAAAAATAGTTTGGACAAAATATATACATAAGGTTCATAATAAAAATAATAAATAGAAAATTTAATCTTTAACTTTAACATATAAGATTTCTAATAGTACTGTTAAATATTAATTTGTATTTAAATATCAACTTTATATTTTCATTTATTTCACAGTTCTTTCATTTATATTTATAATTTTCATATTAATTTATCTAATTACGAGTATAAGAAATAAAGTATCATGAGTATCGAAGAACCATAAAGTAAACCGAAATGAAACATTACTATTATTTAAATAATATTATAATGTATAATGTACTATAATGGAAAACTTGTATTTATTACTCGGACAATTATTATATTATCAATATTATTACGCTGAAATTATAAAAAGAAAATTAGTATAAAGTGATTTCAAAGTTTTATTTAATATATTGAGAAAATATGAGGTAACAAAGTTTTACTTTAATGATGAAAACATTGATTGAATAAACCATTTATATAAAGTTTATTATACGGTAAATATTTTTCTGTAAAATATCCCTGTTATTTGGTAGTGAGAACTAATTTTGATATTATTTTAAATAGTTATTATATCGTTTGCATTGTTTTGCAAAATATTTTCTAAGAATTATAATTTGACATTGAAAAAAAAAAAAGAAGAAATTTTATAGATAAAATTTTATAGACCAATAAAATCCATTATCAACCTATCCAAACTTTACTCACGACTGTGCGTCTTATATTTTAAAGTAAGTAAAAATGATTGGAATTTATATTTTTATACGTATATTACAATATTTTTTATTAATAATTTACTATTTATTAAATAGTTTTCAAAATTAAAAAAGAAACGAATAAAGAACGATGTTTTAAATTAAAGAATGATTATTTTATAGCAAATATGATATTTATCAAGAAATTTACATGAATCTATTGGAGTTGTTGTAGAGTATTGTAGAAGTACATATTTGTGCTCGTAAAGAATAAAAGATAAAAATTTGTATTATCAAGAACAATTAAACAATTTACAAAAGAGTTGAATTTGACGTAAGGAAATACTAGTCGTATCTAATGTAAGTAAGCTATTTGAATAAACAATCAAAGCTAACAAAATAATTAATGATAAAGGCTAGATGAGTGATCGCAAGAAAAGAGAGAAAGCGTGAATTTAATTGCAATTAATATTCACAAAATCGGGATACAAAGCTTAAAATAATTATAATGCATTTGCAAAGCAACGTGTTTTGTTACAGACTCTCACGGGACTAGGGACGTGACAAATCCAGAGTAGCTCCAATTCAGCATCTCGACAATAAAAATAATCGTTTTATCTACCATATTGACTTGTATCAATATACACAGAGTATTTATTGATTTTAGAAGAAATTTAACTCTTACCGACATAACCCACTGGGATTTTCATTTGAGATATCAGAATGGAAAAAAAATATGCATTGGTATTCAGTGTACAAAGCCTAGGCACCAGCCAATTAAAGTTAAGAAGGCGCAATGAATATAAGTCACCAAGGTACATAAATGCCTTTCAAACAAGACTCAATAGAAATCTGAAAAGTTGAAAAATTATATATCTGCCTTTTAAAGCATTTAGAAATTAATTGTCTTATTCATGAAAAGATGTATTAAATTCATAAAAAGGTGTATTAAATATTGAAGTCGTAATGGCCGATTATTATTTTTAATATAATGTCTGTCAGAGCATCAACTGACAGAAATAAGATTTAAATGTATAGAAAGAATAGTATTATTAAACAAAAAGCAAATTTTCCTTTTTACATCGGAATATGTTGGTGTTACTTGAATTTGTATTTCACTGAAAAATATCAATCATATTTCAAATCCTGGTACTCTTTAGAAAAAAATGTGTGACATGAAAATACATATTAAAACAAACAAAGTCCGTCCTTTTTTTTCACAGATAAATCGTTTTCGTAATTTTATTCATACGATAATTTTTATTATTAATAAAGTTTGGATTCTGTACTATTTGTGACAATACTGCGTAAAAGACAATTTGACATTCTCACGAAACTATATATATATATATATATATATATATATACACACAGACAAGAACAAACGTGCATATATACGTATATGTGTCACCTTTAATCGATCAAATGAAATAAAGATATTTCATGATGTATATAAATATTGAAAATAATGAATACGTTCCTTTCATTCAAATCAATTAGAAAAATAAAAAATGAAAAATATTTGTTTATCATAATTTTATAGTAATATATTAATTTTACAAATAATTGTAATATTTATAATAGAACTGATATACGAAATTCTCATTAAAATAAAATAAATCTGTAATACCGAATAAAGATTAAATTAAAAAAAAAAAAACAAAAAAAAACCAAAAAACAAAAAGAAAAAAATAGAAATTTAATTAATTTTTATCAATCAAGAGAATCATCAGAGTAACAAAATATTTACATTAAAAAAATACATTTACATATAATAATATGCAAATTTTTAACTGTAAATGAAAATTTTATGAAACGAAAAGTTTTTTATTAGATTTTTAATTATAGTGAGATTTTTCGATATAATGGGCTTGTAGTATTTATTATATATGTAAACGAAATATGTAGCTGACATTAAAATTAGGTAATTTCGAATTAACGTCCCACTCCATATTGCATTCTATTTGATTATTAAATATTATTTGTATTTTTTTTTTTTTCACCAATTTTTCATAATATATTCTACAGGATTCTTTTATGAATAATCATTTCATATAGAGTATATACTTACATAGACTTTCTACTTCTAGTTTTAAGTTATATTTAGCGGTTCAATCTAAGTTAATTTAAAATAAATTAAGATAATACTAGCTATAATTTATAATACATCATTATTTATTTATTTTTTTTTTTTTTTTTTTTTTTATAAATGTGCATTAATACTGAGGACGTGTTAACATATCTTTTTCTAGTTTTATATAAATATTGTACGTTTATGGGCAACACAAGTGCGCGCACACGCTCACGTCAGCTGCCTATACGTACGCACGTTTATTTTAACTGCGTAAAGCAATTACGTGCAAGCGGTATGTTTTGTTCAATATGAATATATTCTCTTGAATGCTAATTGATCTTTACAAATACAGCAATAGGATGTAATGCAACACTAAGGACATAATAATTTTCGAGTTGTAATTAAAAGTTTACGTTAATTCTTGAAAAGTTATTCAGCATTTAGGACACTCTTTAAGCTATACATTTCATTCAATCGCATCTCGGATTTCTCTGTTTATCGAAATAATCGTCCAATTAACAAGAACTTGATTAAAGGTAGTAAATTATATTAGAATCTCAACCGAGTAAACTGTAACTTAGTGTCATTATTATGAATTACACAGTTAATATTATGAAACGATTAATAATTAATTCATCACTTGTTACTATTGCAACGGGAATAAATCAAACCAAAAATGATATTTTTCTTCCTTGACTATGAACTATGAACAAATAAAATGATCAAATTTTTATAAAAATCACATATACGATTTTGTAAGCTTTTTTTACAATAGCTTTGTCGCAGGACCTGGTGTAATTTTTTTTTTGTTCTTTCATTCAAAGATATGCAGCACATGTTGAGTTATTACGCAAATGTCCAGAAAATCCAATACGATTCATATGATAAAAGTCCGTCGCGTATAAGTGAAAAAAAAATCGAGGGAAAGCTTACCATGACGAGCATATTAGCAGCCGGAGGATCGACGCGACTGCGGAAGAAGTTGTGATAAAGGACGATTTTTCTTTGTACCTTCTTGTCGCTCGTAGTCAAGACCCTCCTGGGAATCCTGTCGCCGTATAATCGAGGCACTGAAAGAGAAACGAGAAAACTTGCCTTACTCCCTCTCTCTATCAAGTTCAACTGACTTACTATTTTTCCTATTTTCTACTTTATCGGCCATTCTTATATTTTATACCTGGGATAAACCCTTCGTCCCCGTCCCACGCTCTCACGCTCTCTTTATCTGTCTAGCTAACAGACGCATTTATCTGCCTTTACTCGTTTTTTTTTTCTATCCCTTTTGCCGCACAGTTTCCGAAGCAAAACTACCTACAAACTAACTGAACGGTTGGCCGAAGCTGTCTAGCAACTGACAATCGATATCAGGTTTTCCACTTCTAAAACAGAGTACTTCTTTCCTTTTACACATCAAAACTTTTCCAACTTGCTTACCACTCGTTTGTTGCAACTCCTTCATCCTTTCGTTTCTCCTCTAACGTCACCCTATATCCTTTGATGCAGAATTTTCGATTTTTTATTACATAACTTTCACTACATTCATTGACAGTTTCTTTTAATTATTATTATTAAAAACTTTTAACGATTTCAGATGATTTCTCTTAATTATCCTCTAATTCACTACACTGAGATGCATAATATACAATTTGCTTGATACGTCTCTTCATAAATCTGATAAATCAAAGATCTTTGAATGTTATCGAAATTAGATGTCTGATATTCAAAGGACACAATAAATAATAAAAGTTCCCATTACGTCAATTCAAGCTATTGGAAACATGTATTCAACGACAAAGGATTTAATATCTTGACAAATGTTACGTTTACCGATATTTTATTTTATATGTATACATATATATATATATATATATATATATATATATATATATATATATTTAAATGCAAGTATATTAGATGAAAATTTTTTAATATGAATAACGATAATAGTAAAAAAATATTTTATATAACACATACATATATAATTATAGGCGTATTGTTTTTTTAAAATAAGTTTTTAATAAGTGTGAACATTATCAAATTATAATCACATAAAATTACATTTATTTGATAATGTCATTTAAATGTAGTTATTGAGAGCAATATTTATGTAAATGGTAAATAATCGTCGATTTTAACAAAAAAAAAAAAAAGAAAAAAAAAAAGAAGAGGAATATTTGCTTCCTATAGAAACTGCGACAATAGTGTTTGTTGACTTTAATAACAAAGACGACATTAATAATGAAACTGATGAACAACTAGAGCAAATACAAATACAAGTTTAAAAAAAATAATTGCAAAATGTAAAAAGCCTAAAGTGAAAATTTACAATAAAGAAAAAAATATAAAAAAAGAAGATGAAAAATAAAAATTGAATGAAATTGAAATTGAGACAGACTATTCAAATAGGAGACGAAGTATTTTATAATTTAATTTTACACAATTTGCATCGGTTAGACATTATAAATTTAACAAATATATTTGTAATCTTATATTTTTATGATGAAAATTTATTACTAATATTATATATTAATATTTCTGCAATCAAAAAAAAAAAAAAAAAAAACGACTGTAACATATTAATATATTGATTTTTAATAAATTACTGCTCGATGAGTTATAATTTGCATCAAAGTATAAAATAACGATTAAATATATATATATATTTATGATGTTACATTATGATATATTGTTTACATAAAATAATATAAAATATTTCGAAAATAAAGTTACTCAATATGCATTCTCATGAAATATATATATATATATATTTGAAAATATATTTAATTTCAATCTAACTAAATATTTGAAACGCTAGAAGATATCTTAATATCAATCATATTATATAATAATAACATTAAAGCCATTAATAATTTTCTTTTTTATGTATATTTTGAAAGTAATATCAGAGCATACTTAAGTGGCAGCTGCTTCTGTAAGGGATTTGTGGAATATTCAAATGCAAATTTAATCAAAACGTACAAGTCTATGGAAAATTTAACTATTGTTGAGATGAGACTGGGTTTACTCAATATTCCATCGACGTCGGCGAAATAGCGAGTGAAAACATGATTGATATGTGATGTAAACTCTTATTCGTTGAATAATTCAATTTAAACAGAAAAAATGTACTTTAGATGTGTCATGAGAAATGTTTCAACAATGTTGAATGATTACTGTGTATCTTGTAAAACTTTGGCAATGGCCCATTACTTTACATTATAACTAATTGTTGCTCTTCTCTACCAATATTGCAAATATCGAAACTTTTAAAAATAACTAATCAAATAGACCCAAAGCAACGATCCATTCCACAATGCAAGAAAAATGATCAACGTTTGTTAAATGTTTGTAAAAAAAAAAAAACAAAAAAAAAAAAAATCCCATTTACTTATAAATAGTAGAACTATTCAATATTTATTCTATTACACTGTCGAGTACATTAGTCGTCTGATATTGTAAAAACTTAGATTTTATTTAAGGAAAAAACTTTTAATTAGATATAATACACGAAATCGTCAACAATTTTCCTACAACTCATCCGTATAAGTAACTCTCAATTAATTTTAATTTAAATAACATTTATAACATAAGTTATATTAATAAGATTTATTTATAATAAATAAATAAAGTTGCTAATAAATAATTAGAAATGATTTTTAATAAGGCTAAGAAAATTAACGAAATAGTATAAAAATAGTTTTACGTTTTTAAGCAATAAAGAATGCAGAAAAATTAGAAATTTTGTTTATATATTATGATTTTGTTTACATTTTACCAATTAAAATAAAAAAAAAAGTAAATTGAATACGCGTACCTAAATTAGCTGAAATAAATACAAAATATTATAAAAAATATGAATATTTATTCTTAGGTACGTGAATATTTTTTATTTTGGGGTGGAAAGCGAATGAAATTAAAAAAACAACAATATTAATTTTCAAAATAACTTAAAAATAGTATTTACCGCAAAATGAAAGTTAACAACAAAAAAAAAAACACTAAACATCCTCGTGTATTCAAAACGTTAATATTTCATTATTATTGCTATTGTCGTTGTTGTTATTGTTGTTGTCGACATCGTGATAATTTATTTGATATAAGAAAACATTAGTATTGTTGCTTTCGTTATAATTTTCAATTGTATTTTGATTTATTTAAAAATAATCGTTATTCAAATGGTCTTACAAAGACAAGAACAATATTTCAAATGTTATTTAAAATATACTATTTTTCTTGATCCTTCTGCTAATGAATTAAATTATTTAACAATAGGAAAGAAATATTCTTATTTATTAATTCGTTAATTAACTAATTACTTCTTTATTATCCATATAATATTTGAAGAATATTGAAATATAAGTTCGATGAAATTGCTTAGCAAATTTGACGAATTCGATGAAATTTAATTCATACGGCTCTCTATTATTTTACCTTATGAATTCGGCTTTGACAACGCTAGATTCTATTGAAGATGTATTGCCGAGCAAATATCATTAAAATGAACTGTTTTCAGTTATTTTTATTACGCAAAGTGATCTTAATAGCATTGCGATCATAATTATGCTTACTCGATAACCCCACTACCCACTATATTAAAGGAAGCTATCATATTAGGTCATCCTCGAAACTCGATCTTTTTTCTCTCTAAAAACCAATACGCCCCCCCCCCCTATTGCAGCCATTATCGCGACAATAGTAGTCCACGCAATGGAATATCGTCCAATGGTCATCGAGACTCATCCTCGAAGATCGATGACACTAGCGTGTAGTAAAACAGCTTCAAGGATACAATACGTGGACGATCTTGAGATCGCAGTGAAAGATACCGATGGACTGGAACGTCCCAATGAAGTTGAAGCGAGCAGACGGTTAGCTTACTTCGTCCTCGGCCGAGGATCATAAAGCCGCGCTTACCGGGCTTCTGGTACTCCAGCTGCTCATCGGCGCTCTTGAAGGATAACGCAGCGGTAAGGGTGACAGCCAGGACCAGCAACCACGACCAATTCATTATGTAGCCGGCCCTCTCTCCTTCTCTCTCTCTCTCTCTCTCTCTCTCTCTCTCTTAGTCTTTCACTCGCTCTTACACTGTATTAGCGGTGTTGCAATTCTTCGGAAACTGATGAAACTGTAATTAAAGAACAAAGGTGGATGAGAGAAAAGTCAACGGCTTCTTCGTGTTTATTGTATGTTTATTCCAACTGTCTAAGGTAACTTTTTTTCGCAGCATGTAATAATTAGATAAAGCTATGAATTATTCATAGGCCAAGATGGATTATTGTATTACCAGTGCCACATTCGTTTAAATAAGTAAAGGGAAGAGAAAGTTTTAAATAAATATAAAATAATCGTTCGTTTGGTTGGTTATTCCCCCTCGAGTGACAACATTAAATTATCAAAACGTACTTTGTTCTCTATCCTCCTGGAAGACGAAGATATTTATGCTTTCGTTTCATTGCTTCATCTCGTTCACTTCAAGAACAAATTTCATTTTCCATATTTTTGAAAATCAATTACAACTACACGCCTATAATTTTCCAGCACTTAAAATGAAAGTGTATACACTTAGCCATTTGTTGGCTTGGTAATGGATGAGATTTTTAACGTCCGTTAATCATAATACGCGGTTACTCATAAATTTATTTCGTAAGTAATTCTATCGATAAAAAATCGTTTTCGGATGTCTGAAATACCGACGAAGGGAGCAGTCGTAGAGAAATAAAAATGAAACTATACATAAAGCTTGGCGTTATTGTAATAAAGCTCAAAGTTACAAAATGAATATAAATTTTAATTAAATTTGAAAATTTCTTACTAATAATACAGAATATGGTAATTATAAGGAAAAATATAAAACAGGTTACTAAACATTCGGTACGTAGCTATGTGTTGAAATATTGGTTTAAGCTTGCGTAAATATGCTATTTCGACAGTTTCAACGCTTTATTAATAATTTATGTAGATATAATACAAATGTAATTGTAAGACAACTTTCATTTCCCGCTTTACCAATCTAAGCGAGTTAAATAATGAAATTTTATTAAATACGTGATCTATTTGCCCGAGAAATTTTTAATATAATAATTTTATTTAATTAATATTCAAATATTATCAAATAAAGCTGTTCTTTCGTGCTTGAAATTTCATTAGGCTGTTTTCTCGGTGTAATCATTAAACCATTAAATTTACATAACTGTAAAATAAAAAATTGACGGAAAATAAGTCGATTAATTAATTAAATGAAAAGCAAAATTCGAAGCACGTTTCTGAAATCAACATTTAATTTTAATCAACCCAGCTTTTAATGTATGGACAATCGACTGTCTGTATTAAATAATGTATCATTAAAAGCACAATTAGCAAATGAGAATTTGATAAACAAATGGCTAGAAAATTTAGTAAAATATATTTTTTTTTAAACAGCCCAAGTATACGTTTATACTCTAATTGCCCGAGCATCGAACAATTAATTTAAATGAAATGAATAAAAATTGACAGTGGACGGCGGCGGGGTTGGGGGGGGGGTCGACGAAGAAATAGTCTTAAAAAGAAGTGGTACTTGGAGCATACACTAATTTACAATTTAAAAAGCAAAATTAATTGCTCGACAGAGCATTAGTTGACTCGAATAATTGGTGGATTTGTTAATTATAAGCCACGATGCGATAAGCGATTAACGATAAGTCACGGCGATCATAAATTTGTAGACAATGATGACGGAAAAGCGACAATTTGGTACTTTGGGAATGTCATATACGTGCGAACCATTGATTTGGAAATGCTTGCTGATTACGTAGGAAAATTTTCGTCTGAGCGCAGCGCCGACATCACTACCTCCGATATTTCGATCAAATTTCGAGTGCGTAAAGAGTGAATGTGAGAGTTGCTTAGAAGAGATGCGATAATTCGTGAGCGACACAGTGATCTCTCGGTAAGATGGCAGGGTACGATGGTAAGACAATCCTTAAATATCAGGTTAAGCGCGTGAACCACTTTTCATTCTAGTTATACTCCACACACGCATTTAACTTGCAGAAGACGAATATTCATGCTGAAGGATACGTGGATATCAGCTTTGCATGCTTGTTTGTTTCCTGCATATGATGAAAGGCCGAACCACTACAGTTTTATGTGTCTGTCTGGAAAACCAGCGAATACGAGGACGCTCATGATATATGCGTATAAGCGATGGCATACAGGTCCGATAGATCTATGTATGAATGCGAGAAAAGGATCGACTGCTGACTACGTGAAATATCGCGTGTACGATAATTAACGCGTGAATGTGTGTGGATACTTAGGTGCGTGGCTGCAGTAATATTTAGTAAGATAACATATTCCGTATATCCCCAGTGCTAACAAAAAGGTATTATCATTCATATTAAAAGTGTGCATGTATTTAAATGTCCTAGTTATGAGCACTTTCATAACGCTCTATGTGTTTGCGCTCATGAGCATCTAGAATTGTATTTACGAAAAATATACGTTTGCGCAGATAAACGTTTGTACCAAAATGTAGAAATTATAATGGTGTTTTATAATATATAAAATGAAATTTTTTAATACAATTATGACTGGTCAAAAAAAAAAATATATATATATATATATATATGTATATATATATATATAAATATAAATATGTATATAAGAAATTATAAATATATTTATAATGATATATATAATTGATAAATATACAAAACAAAAATCCACTTTTTTATTAGAATGAATTAATTATAAAATTTCTTTTCGTTTCTTTGTCTGACTTAAATCCTCTAGAAATGCATATCTGATTTTGAAGGATATAGAATTAATTATAACTTCTGAAAGCATTCGGATGAATTAAACATTATCTTTTGTAAGGCATTATAATTTTTTGTGTTAAATTGAACATTTAAATCAGTGTGAATAAATTCGAAAAAGGTTTAAAACGTTTTATTTTTTATTATTTTTTTTTTTTACAACCTCTCGGAATTTAATGATATAATTTATCAAATGCAGAAAGCAAAATAGTATTGTTGCAAAAATGCTGATTATTGTTAGAGATGCGATGTTAGATGAACTTTGTATATTCGAGTATTTGCAGCTGCTCTGCACACTTTGGTACACTCGAAAGTAGAAGAGATTTGCAGGTAAAAGTTTGTTGCGATGGTAGCGTGAAGCTGTGCGCGACTCAAGCAATTCGCATTAACAGAGCGAAATAGCGCTATTAACGAGAATGTTTTTTTAACACTCTGTATTTGTAGATACTGAATAGATGCTAAACGAATGAAAATGTCGATATCAGGCAGAGTCATCTTCGAAACCTTGGAAAATTTCAATCACAGAAGAAGCAATATTGATTTTCTTTTGGCGATAAAGGAGGCTCAAAAGCGAAGTAAAATTTTTTGTTACTCTTGCTTGCGATGCACGATAACTCGAAAGAGTAAACTTATTGATGAATCTTACGATGAAACTAAATTTAGTAATATTGGTTATGATGCTAAGCGTTTTATGCGATAGCAATTGAATGAAAAATTTTATGACCCCAACTTTTTATTGTGATTCTAATATTGCGTCTAGACCGGTAAAAATTAATCCTAATATAAAGTATGCTAATTCTTTCATACGTTGGTAATCAACTTGAAAAAAGTATAACTCTAATTTTTTATTTGCACTCTTGAATAATATCTGGGCCATTTTAAAAGACTAAAGTACAACTTGTAAAAATAAAAAGAAGAAGAAGAAGAAGAAGAAGAAGAAGAAGAAAATACTTCGGATAAAAGATAACGAAATTTCGATGCTTAAGTCATGAAATTTGCAAAATCTCATCGAAATCTACGTATCGATAATCGTTAATTTTTAATTAACAAATTAACACACTACCGACATTATCTTATAAATCAAAAAATAATTTCATACTCATAATAGATACAATAAGAAACTAAATCAAGGTTCTCAAGTGTAGAGAATTATTACTCAATTTTAACATACGATTCTTTTATATCCACATCCTGCTATATACGCGATAATTCTAGCTATAAAGAGCGAAAAAAAAATAAAAAAAATACGTAACATTAGATGTATCGTTAAAAACCATTAAATATATTGTAAAATTGTAATTAACGATTAGGATCATAAATCATGGAGGAAGCACGAAAGTGAGGCTGATGCAACCTAGGCGACCGATTGCAAATGCAACTTACCCATTTAACAATAAAGCAAACAACGAATGAAAACTTTAATAGCTTGAATTATGCATTAAGAGGCAAATTCTTTCTTTGTGCTCATCTCCTTTTGCTCCCTCCTTTGTACGTCCGCTAAAGTTCCGCGGCCTCGAAGTGAAACATCAAACACCCGATGGGAAAGTAAAAGTTTTTCACAGGCCGCATACTCGGTAATATACTTTTCGATATTTCAAGCAATAAGAAGAGAAACAAACGCGCAAATAGTTAAAAAAAAAAGAAAAGAAAAAGAGGTCTTCGACTTCCAAAGCGACAGAGCTCGAAAAACATTAATGAAATGGATATTCACTGTTAGCTACACTTGTTGTATCAAAATTTCATATAACTCACCAACTTTTCATTTTTCGCTTCAAACAGCTTTTCAAGCTTTCAATGGATTGGCTCGTACTATTAGAGATTTTTTTTTTTTTTTTTTTCAATTACCTAACGATGAAAGATTTTCTAATATTCCATATGACGATAAAACTGGCAGTCTATAGATGGAAAAATCTGTATTGAGAAATGAAATTCAAAATACCGTTAAAGTTTGTCGTCAAAGATTCTTCTTTATATACATAAGAAAAAACTTTTATATTGAATTACTATATATTGGTATTGAATGTAGAGGAACTTCTGCTCTTGACAGTATTGAAGAAAGTGTTACGAAAGTTTCACGTTTATTATAAATCTGCCTAATTACTCCTCTACTTTATTAAAGCATTTTTTTTTTTTTTTATATATATATAAGGTTTTGTCAAAACGACTTCAGTAGATTAAATATGAAAGTGAAATAAAAAGATTAAAAACTGTTTTAAATAGATTTCTTTTCTTATTAACAATTTAAAAAGCTTTT